TTACTCTTAGTGTGTGTCTCAAAGAGCTTCCTAGTTCAACAGTTAGGGTCAGGGCAGTCTTTGCACCAGGACAAGCTAGGCAGCTGCCTAGGGCCCCCCATGAGCCAAGGGCCCCCTACATATATATAACCATCTCCTTGTTTCTACACTCATTGTCCATTTTATCAGCTCCACTTACTATATAGGTGCACTTTGTAGTTCTACAGTTACAGACTGTAGTCCATCTGTTTCTCTGCATACTTTGTTACCCTGTTCTCCAATGGGCAGGCCCCCCCCCACAGGACCACCACAGAACAGGTACTATTTGGGTGGTGGATCATTCTCAGCACTGCAGTAACACTGACTTGGTGGTGGTGTGTTAGTGTGTGTTGTGCTGGTCTGAGTGGATCTGCTGGAGTTTTTAAACACCTCAGTGTCGCTGCTGGACTGAGAATAGTCCACCAACCAAAAATATCCAGCCAACAGCGTCCTGTGACCACTGATGAAGGACTAGAGGATGACCAACACAAACTGTACAGCAGCAGATAAGCTACTGTCTCAGACTTTACATCTACAAGGTGGACCAACAAGGTAAGAGTGTCTAATAGAGTGGACAGTGAGTGGACACAGTGTTTGATCCACTCGTACCAGCGCAACACACACTATCACACCACCACATCAGTGTCACTGCAGTGCTAAAAATGTACATAATAACATAATACCTGCTCTGTGGTGGTCCTGTGGGGGTCCTGAAAGCTACAGATTTATACATACCGTTAGACATGGTAGACGAGGACAAGGAGCGGCATGTATTTATAATAATGACTTTAACTGCAAAAATACCACTCTTGGTGTGTTTATGTGTTTTGAGTATGTTGTGCTCAACCTTTTTTTCTGATACCTCTGTGTTATTAATTGCAGTCGATAGCCAAACAGTAATTTTTCGGCAGGAAATGAAGAACTAATATCAATTCAGTCCACAAGCTATTTGCATATTGAAGGCCAATCAGAGTAATGCTGTAGAGTTCTTTAGACTCATAGAGACATTTGATTTGAAGCAGTATGTGGGCAGCTGTACCCACAAGCTAGGCCACATCCTGGATCTGCTTATCACGAAAGGTTTAAACACAAACTTGTCCCTCATCTCTGGTGTTTTCATGTCAGACCATTTCTGCTTATTCCTTCAGGTCAATATAGAGCAGGCATGTCAAACTGGGGACCTTCCGGGCCAAAATGCTGCGGAGATCAGCCTTTACCCTCATCTAACACTCTGAATTCAGTGCTTGTAGGCTTGGCTAATTAGCTGATGAGCTGAATCAGGTGTGTTTACTGAGGCAGTGTGCTGACGTGTGATATAAAAGGTAAGAAGAGGGTGATTGAAAGTTATTTTTAAAAATGGTACATTGGCTCAGAAACTGTTGAGAAGTTTAAAATGTTTATAATAGTGCATCAAATACAGCTCTGACTCCCTCCTGTAATGATCTGCCCTCTGATCTAAACGCTAGATTAACGGAAACTCTCGACATTCTTGCACCAATCAAATAGAAGAAAAAATTGCATATTCATAAATATTCATGGGTGAATGAACAAATAAGCCAGAACTGTCATAAATCAGAGCAAATCTAGTGGAAAACTAAACTGCAGGTACATTGTGATGTCCTTCTAGTACAATTAATGAACACAAAGTCCTTTTTTCCACCATAAACTGACTAATTAACCCCAGCATTTCCACGACTATCTAATGGTGATTTGTCTTCCCAAATCTGCAATTCATTTTCAAAATTAAATAGCCTTGATAAGACAGAGCATAGCTCAGCTGACTGTACCTAATGTCAAATCAAATATTGGAGAAAGCTTTTGGTTCTAACCATAATACTGAGACTGGTTCATGTTGTGAATGACCTCAGGCTTTAGCAGTGATGCACAAAATCTTTCTACTCTGGTCTTATTGGATCTTAGTGCAACTTTTGATACCACTGATCACAAGATTCTAATCTAATACTGGTTTTAGAATGGTTTGAGTTCTATTTAATGAGTAAACAATTCTTGGTGTCACTGGGGTGTCATTCATCAAAATAATGTAGCATTTCTTGTGGAGTCCCTCAAGGTTCAGTTTTAGGGCCCTTGTTTTACTCATTGTACATGTTACCTCTAGATGATGTCATTATGAAACAAGACATACATTTTCATAGCTATGCTGATGACACACAGTTACATGTTTCCATTCCTTCTGATAATCAAGACTCTGTTTACAGGCTGACCAGCTGTGTGTCAGATATTTCCCAGTGGATGTCGCAAAATTTAAATCAAGAAAAAACGGAAATACTGATCCTTGGCACTAAAATTCAGAGAAAGATGCTTTATGTAAGAGCTATTTTGCTTTGTTTACCATCCTGAATTACAAAACCTGGGTGTGACCTTAGACTCTGAGCTCTGTTTTATCCCACAGGTAAACGCAGTCACTAAAGTAACTTTTTATCATTTAAGAAATATCACTGAAGAAAAAAACCGTTAGGATGCTGTGCAAAATGTAAATTAAAAACAGAATGCAGTGATATGCAAATCATGTAAACTCTATATTTCATTGAAAATAGTACAAAGAAAATAGTATGAAGTTTAGTTTTAATGAGTTAATAATAATGTCTGGTCTAAAGTTCGTGTGACTAGCTCCATTGGAAATGTGTTTCATTAAAAATCGTTTACGTGTTTAATATGTATTTCCCACTCTCAGGTTAGTCCTTAATAAAGCAGTGGTAGACAGTAACTAAGTAAATGTAATTGGTTACTGTACTTAAGTAATTTTTTAGTGTATCTGTACTGAAGTATTTCCATTTTGGGCGACTTTTTACTTTCACTCCACTACATTTCAAAGTCAAATATCTCACTTTTTACTCCACTACATTATGAGAAATCTGTCATTCCTTTTGGTTTATGTGTTGATAAAAACATAACATATCAAATCAAAAGAATCGCGAAGCAAAAACACCAATCAGGGCACAGCACACTTAGTTTTGAGTTTGTTTTGACCTGTTGGTCATACCGACCCAGTGCAGCACACAGTTCAATGTCAGTGCAGCAGCGTAAAATTTTGGGAGTGTCTTCAACATAAATGATGAACTAACCTAACTTTGTGTAAACAGACCACAATATAGAAATATGTACACACATGCAGTTGTGACTGACGGGTCTTTTTTTTTATTATTTTTTTTTATTTTATAGTAAATTTGTTTTGGCTAGTTTATGTTTATAAAGACCTACAGATGCAGTTTAGTAAAGGAAAACTCATTTGTGAACCTGAGTTTAAAGCAAGTTTTTATTAAACTTAAACTTGTTTAAATTTAAACCAATTTTTATTTCAACTAAATTGCAAATAAATCTTAAACTGAAACTTGGCTTGTTTGTAAAAAGTGATTTCAGAGCCACTCAGTTCTACCTGATGGAAACTGTTTGCCTTCAGTGTTTTGTGATTATGATCATTTTAATAGACATCAGTGTCACTAATTAATGACATTCCATTAAAAGACTGGTTTACCAAGAGTGACACTGGAGTATTTTCACCTAAAATGAGTTAATGAAGCAGAGTCTTCTTACAAAAGTGAAAATAGGACACTATAGTCTTTTTAATCGTTTTGTACTTTCACTTTCGATACTTAAGTATATTTGAAGGCAAATACTTTAGTACTTTTACTCAAGTGGAGGTCTAAAGAGAGGAACTTCTGCTTGTACTGCAGTAATATTTTACCTTGGGTATCTCTACTTTAACTCAAGTACATGATTTGTGCACTTCGTCCACCACTATAATAAAGACTATTATCATACGTTTAGAGACGTATTAGATCATATCAGAGTTGTATATGGCATCTCATTTTCCCTACTTGAAATAAATGAGTTTGATAGTATGTAAACACTATTAATGACCATCCCCCACCCCTGAAGAAGAACACCTGGCTAGTAGTCCTGACATAATAAAAGACCCCTGTGGCAAATATATAAAACCTTTTATTTTCAGCCTTTCAGTCACATTTCCTGTCAGTTTTGCCTCAGTTATGCTCAGTTAATACTGCAGCATAAAGTTTGATACAGCTTTTAGTAACAAGACTTTCATTGTAGAAAAAGCTTCAGTCTGGAGGACAAAACTGAAGCTACATACAATAAATAGTGTTTAAAGGAAAGAGAGCAAACAGCTTGAAATGGCTGGCTGGCATGTAGTTTGTATAGCAAGCATGCTAGCTAGAACAATAGCTAATGTCAGTTAATCTCGCTGAACATTTAGTAAATTGCTTCTTTCCTTTAAACACTGAACTTACTGCATGTAGCGCTTAAGTTCTGTCCTTCAGACTTAAGTTTTTTCTATAATAAAAGTTTCATTATTTAAAGCAGTGTCAAAACAATTTTTTATTCAGGTTTACTTTTGTACATGCAGCTAATAACGAGACTGAACTCTCTGCTAAAGACTTGAGATTAATAACTTCTCTGCACACTTTATACATTTCATTTTATAGTTTTCATTATTAAATTCAAGACATTCTGTTGTATGGATTTATTCAGTGAGCACAAAAAAGTGACTTAACAGACTAAACAATGTGTAGATTCTAAAAGACTTTTTACAACAAGAAAGAAATAATACACAATTATCATTTCATTCACTTATTAACACGTATTCACCAGACTCTGTAGATTCACACTACACACTATAGGGCCAAAAGTATGTGGACACTTCACCATCAAACCTATATGAGCTTGTTGGACATCCTAAAAGTATGAGTATATGGACCATTATTTTGTATTAACATTACACTTCACTGGAACTAAGGGGCCAAGCCCAAACCCTGAAAAGCAGCCCTCGACCATTATCCCTCCTCCACCAAACTTTACTGTTGGCACTCTCATAGGTGGCGTTCTCTTGGCCGGCCCCAAACCCAGATTTGTCCATCAGTCTGCCAGATAATGAAACGTGATTCATCACTCCACACAGCATGTTTCCACTGCTCCAGAGTCCAGTGGAGTTACACCACTCCAGC